AAGCTCATTTATATGAACTAGGAACCACATTAGTGCCTGTGGAATTGCTAGCCTCCCTTTCTTAAAGAGCAGGAGGGTAGATATGGCTGAGTGGTGGTACTGAAAGCCTTCGGCTGAAGGTAATTATAGGTTCCAAACACTTCCTTCAACTGGGAGTCGAAACCTAAGAATTTCCAGGGTGTGAGGATCAAGTCCAGCAGACTGAGAAGTAAGGAGGAGAAAGAGAAAGTTTTCATATTGAAAGAGAACACGAGTACAATTTAGGGGGAAAAGATTTCTCTTTTCACTCATTCCTCTTTCCGTATAGGCCAGCTGAATGGAGGGCATTAGGAAAATCTAACACAAAACACAGCCACCTTGGTTATCAGTCTGTGGCATATCCAGTCCAGTCCTCAATACTGAGGTCTTATTTCAGACCTGACAGAATATAGAGATAGATAACCCCAATATGCTTTTCTCCTGGGTCAAACTATAATCCATCTGGACCTCATTCTGCTGGCATCCTCTACAGATCATGAAACTGAAGGCTGGCTAACAGGGTAACTGGCAACAGTCAGTCACAGCCAGCTGATGGGTAACTGGAGGTTCAGAGGTGTATAGCTTTCAGGGAAATCTCTCTCTCTCTCTCTCTCTCTCTCTCTCTCTCTCTCTCTCTCTCTCACACACACACACACACACACACACACACACACACACCCCAATGGCTTCCATTTGGTTTCAGGTTATCACACCATGGCTTATATTAAGGTCATTTTAGCGACTATGCCCTTGCCAGTGCTCTTTCGGGAATCTAGTCCTGAAAGACTGTGAAGACAATCAAGACACCAGGCCAGAACAGCAGCTCATATTCTGTACATATTTTACCTCTTCTTAACTTGGCACCTGCTTGTCTTCAATGTTTATGCTCTAGCTAAGCTGAAATGCTTGCAAAATTCCTCATGTTGCAAATCTAACTGTGCATGGCATGCAGTCTAGTTGATGAGATAGTTGGTTCCTGTTTTTCTATGTTGCGTCTTGAAATGTTAGCAGTGAGTCTGGATTCTGTTTTTGACCTGTGCATCCCACACTTCCAAGTATTAGCTCCCTGACACCCAGAATGGTCCCCAGAAACTGTACTCTCTACCAAAACCTTGTTTGAGAAGACTTCTTCCCTGTAGGGAGTCTGAAAGTACCTGCTTACTTAAATCAGAAATATTTCACAGAACTGGCAATTAGCAACATCCATGTGTAGACAGCATCAAGGATGAGCACCATTGTGCTAGCAAGTTCTATGTCAGTTAGGAAAAAGCTAGAGTCATTGATGATAACAGAGTTGCAGGTGAGAGAATGCCTCCGTAGACTCATGCTGTAGACAAGCATGTAGAGCATTTTCTTAATTAGTGACGGATATGGGAGGGCCCGACCCATGACTGGTTGGGCTACCCCTGGGTTGGTGGTCTTGTGTTCTGTAAAAATGAGGCTGAATAACAAACTAATAAGCAGCGATCCTCCATGACGGTGGCACCAACTGCTGCCTCCAGGTTCCAGCCCTGTTTAAGTTTCTGTCCCGACTTCCATCATGGATTAAACAGGGGTGTGGAAGTGTATGTCAAATAAACCCTTTACTCCTCGAGCTTGCTTGACCATGGTGCTTTATCGAAGCAGTGACAGCACTGAGCAGGACCGTCATGAACTCTTTAGAGCATACCTTCACTCTGGTGACTTCCTTATGAGTGTGGTTCTCTTTGTAGCAAGGCCAGAAGTTTTCCTTTTACTGGTGAAAGCAATGTAGCCACTGTAATCTTGGAAGGCTTGGGTAGCCTGTGAAACACAGCGACAGAAAGGAAGCTGCAGTGGATGAATCAGTTGATCTAATAATTAACATTTAGCTTCTTGATTCTCTGGATTGGCTTCATCTTCTCCTGCTGTAAACTAGCTTTCTCCACATGCGAGAGAATGTAAAGGCAAGGGAAAACCACCTGCCCTTTACTGTTCAGGTCACCCATGAAAGGCTGTTCTTCTTAATCCCTTAAAGTTTCAAAAGGCCTGCCTAGGTTTACATAAACACCAGGCTTAAACCCACCGATGAAAAGAAAATGATTTTTCTCTCTCCAGATTTGTTATGAGTCTCCTTCCAGTGCGTGGAAATTAAGCATATGGGAACGGGAGGCTGGAGTGTGTTGAGTCACGGGTGTGATTGATGGGTTCAATAAGGAGGATATCTACTATGAACAAGGGTGTCTCTGTGGGGGAGTGTGGAGAAGAAACTTAGAGGGAACCATCAACTCAACCAGGGTACTGATTTCTAAAACTCAGAAACCCAGCCACATCAATCCAAGCTTGACTTCTGACCCTTGCCAAAATCAACAGGGAAACAAGTCGAAATGAAAAAATGTTTTGTGACTCAGATATTAGCACGGGGGCAGGCTGGTATCCGGGAAATGCCTGGTAAAGCTTGTAAAGATGTCTGATGCTTTTCTTCGAGCCTTTGTCTGTACTTTACAGTTGCATTCAGTTATCAATTCCTAAGTAGGACTGCGTGTGGAGCCTGGTGGTAGAGGACACATCTCTGGGCAAAGCCATGGTTTTGCTATTTGGCATTACGCAATTAATAATAGTCATAATAAAATTTTTGTTTTCTTCTGTATATTCAATTAAAATAGGGAATTCTAGAGTAGTATATAATCTTTGTTAATTTTTAAGTATAGAATCTTATTGCAAAGACCAAATTTGCATGTGGGAAAAGGAAACCGGCATAAACAGAAAGTTACAGATAACACTGCATAGGAGGTGGGTTCTGAAATTTATTCATGCAGCATAAAATGTAACCTATAACAGGAGCCCCAGATCAGGTCTTGCAAATTTAGTGATCAATGCTACGCTTGATAACAAAGACCAGGTGTGATAGATAGGCAGTTTTCAATTGACTTAAAGATATGAGACAAGGCTCTTTTGTGGATCATTAGGACCAAACAAAAAGCATAGAGGATTCATCAGCTTGCTTTCAATATCTAGTCTGCAAAAATGTGAGGCGTGCCCTCATCCGAGTAGTCTTTGCTTTGTCTGGTTCTCCTGTGATGCTCCAGATGCTTTGTGATAGAGTCACCAAAGCGCCAGGATTTGGTAGATGCTTAGTGGGAAACAGTGGCTTTTGATACCTTAAAAAGTCACTGTTTGCAATTCAGTTCTTATTTTGCGTTAACTTTAGCTTTCTCATCTTTACACGGGTATAGAAGTAATGATGTCTTATAAGTATGGAAGTATGTTTTTCTGGGAATTAAATGTGAATGTGTGATAGGTACTCATACATAAGTTTACATATATATGTATGTATAAAGATATATATGTATATACACACATATATATGTATAAAGATATATATGTATATATGTGTATAAAGATATATATGTATAAATATATATGTGTATGAAGATATATATATCTTTAATAAACAACACTATTGTTATCACTACAAGCTACCATAGCACTGAGATCTCTGAAGTCTGAGTAGATTACCAACCATCACATATATGAGAGTGTGTGTATTTATAGTACTTAGGAACACTTAGAAATATTTGGCGTTAATACTGAAATGTAGTCTATAAAGTGTATTCAAACTAATATCCTCATTTAATCTTTAACATTTTTTAACATGATGACAATTACTTCCCACTCCACATAAGTGAATGAGTCAGAGTTCTAACACAGGGGCACAACTCCAAGAAGTTATATAGACCGCAGAGCATTTAGTGGGGAAGTTGCTAAGCCAGCGTTGAGCCCCATGTCTTTGACTCAGAAGCTCTTCCCCATACCAAAAGGCTATTTACAGATGGCATTTTTAGGTTTGCATATTTGTGATCCATCTTTCCCGAAAGTCTATATTCATCCACAAAGTATTTACTGATAATAACACCCATGATCCGGTTGACCTGCTGTGTAAACATACACATCACGTTATGTTCACCAATCCTGGTGTTCTAAGCTAAGAAGCATAATTTCGTCATGCAAAGCCTACTGCAATGCCTTTAAAAAAATTTGCTATGATTCCACTGGCAAAGACTGACATTAAAAATGCTGTTAACTCCATTAACTCCAGAGGGCACAGCTAATGAAATGTCCCAAAAGTTGACCACTTGCCAAGATACCGCATCACGTAGGACAGCTCTCAATTAATCATGATGAGGGCATTTCCACTATCTAAATGAAATCTGTAATTCGGGATGGAGATTAAAGATCCTCTGGGGACTGAAGGAAAGGTTGATGTGAACATTCTACAAACTTGAAAATAGAGATAGGTCTACTCAATATTCATGAAGCTGGATTGTTGACACAAATAGATTGCCATCTCTTATTTTCTAATGGGTAGTCTTGTAGCGCTCCCATATCAGTCCTCGCTGGCTTCCTTCAACTTTAAAGGGAATTGCTGGAACATGCACAAATGGTTTTGGAAAAGGAAGCTCACCATATCAAATACGATTTCTTGGAATCTCTATTTTTATAATTTTCTTGTCTAGTATTCATGATCCTAGATACATAAATGTAAAATAATGATACAGCATATGTAGTAAACAAATGTTAGTAAGTGAGCCTTTTTATGCATTAGGTAAGTAAGTCTACTGTCATATGCCAGTTTAAATATTGGCTGACACTTGATTGTGCTTACTTGAGAGAAAAGTCAAATTTCTTCAGCAAACTCATGTTTTCAAGGAAATGGCACACTTCAACTACTGCCCACTTTACTAGACATCACTATTGCTGTTGTGGACAATTAAAGAGAAAATTGATGCGATTTCTACAAATGCTTAATTTACTTTATTAGGCTTTGCAAAGAGGCACTTGAAGTGCAGGGACATACGGGACACGTGGAAACTCAGTTTTCCTATTTCGGTCTCTAACATCTGCCCAGAGCAGGTACCAGACCTCAGGAAATGCTTGTGGGTGTCTTTGTTAAACATGGCAACAGAATCGGTCTCTGAACATATTATTGGTTACTTTATCTTTTTTCTCTTTCTTTTCTTTAGGCTAGCCCTGCTCCTATAATTGTCAACACAGATACTTTGGACACTATTCCTTATGTAAGTACCACTTTTATTTGCTTTATTTTAAAAGTCTGGTAATACTCAATGAGCTGAATTTAACAGCCACTGTGTAAACAGTTCTAGTCAGCCCAGACACTATGACATAATGATACACATAATTAGTTTTGTGACCTTTATTTTGATATTTCCTGATCCTTTGCTTGGAAACAAATGTTTCTCTTTTTTGTTCGTATTTTGTAAAGCAAAGTGGTCAGTCATGAGGGAAAAAAAAAGCATGGACAGGTCTGTTAAAATACTGTTTGTGTGGAAGGTGCTCGGCTGGAAAAGGTTTGAAATGCTTGAAGCAGGCATGGCAAACATCATTGTGTTTCTGGCTAAACAAACATTCCGATCAATTTCTATTGCAGAGCCCGCAACCGAGTTAATCAATAAATAGTTGATAAATTATTTGTGCCTCCCGATAAAAACTAGAGGGGAAGTTTTACAGATGGTGTTTTCTGTAATAATATATGCAGAGGTGTGGGAATGTGAAGTATGACTTAGTAGGAGCCCCAATGGAGATGAAATGACAGGGTGGGGGAGGCGAACAGCCTGAACGCTGGAGCCTAACCACTATGGTGGCTAAAGACTTGAAGGACAGAATCTAGACCCAGAGACTGGCAGTAGACTCAATGTGAGGGGACGGTTGACATGATTGTGGATTTCTGTGAGTACTTTGAGCTGGTGGATGGATGGGTGATGGTGACCAGGGACAAAAAGATGGCCATATATCTCGGTAGAGAGACAGTATGGAATAGGGAAGAGACCCAGTGGAATACATGACAGGAACAGATTTCTGGTTTGTTTGTTTGGGGTTTTTGTTGTTGTTTTTGTTTTTTGTGGGTTTTTTTTTTTGATTTTCAAGACAGGGTTTCTCCATAGCTTTTGGTTCCTGTCCTGGAGCTAGCTCTTGTAGACCAGGCTGGCCTCGAACTCACAGTGATCTGCCTGCCTCTGCCTCCTGAGTGCTGGGATTAAAGGCGTGCACCACCACCGCCCGGCCAGATTTTTGGTTTTTAAGTGTGTAGAATGTGTAGCAGCAATGGCACAAAGCAGGTATTTGGCTCCCACTGGGTGTTCACAGACTCAGAGCCCAACCCCACATGCCTAGAGCCACCAAGCAAATCCCAGACACAAATGGAGCAGGGGACTATGGGGAATACAAAGTACACAGCTCTCTAAAGAGGACAACACTTACCTGGAGCCGCTTTGCCAAATTATGTCATTCTGCAAGAGATATTGGAAATACACATCTTTATGTAAATATTTTCGATTCCTAATGACAACTATTAATACTTTCCAAGGTTTGAACAGCAAGTTAGAAAGTTTGCCTCGTCCATAGGGTCCATAGGCCGCCTTTTGGGAAATCCATCCTCACAAACCGGAGGTCCCAAACAGGTTCGGCAAGCCAGGATTTAGATGCAAGGGACTCGGGTACAATGCTGGGACTTGATTATAGAACTCCTGACTAAACTGGGACACGGGGTCAGAACAGAAATAACTGCAGTCTTGGCTTAATGCTGAACCACCTGAAGTTTTGAACTAGCATCTCTTAAATCTTCCTAAACAAGAACAGTGGAGTGCCAGAGAGAGAGGAAATGTAGTTAAACTCTCTGGCATGAATCAAGTAGACTTGGAAAGTTAAGGGCTCTGTAGAGAAGATGAAGTACTATATTAAAGTTATTTGGTGACTGCTACGTTTTTGATCATTCCTTCTACCTTCTCACGAATACCTAGCATTGTTTTAAGTAGTTAACAAATGCATACAATTTAGTTCTCCTAACAAATGAAGAATAATCTATTAATTTTTATACTTTAAAAAATGGGAAAGGGAATTTTAAGGAGATTCAGTAACACACTGAAGTATTCTGAGCAATAAGCAGAGTAATAAATAAATGCCCTTATTATTGTTTAAAGGTTTTTCAACTCCTACCTTGATGTTCCCTGTGTGTCTTCCCTCCTTCCCTCTCTGACAGTAAACTTCTCAACTTCAGAACAAAGTTTGCTTACATCACCCCATTACAAACCCCCAAAATAATGGGAATTTTGCTAAAGAGAGCTTGCCAAGAAGCCCCAACTTTCCACAGGATAGGGATCAATATATTAAAGAGTTTAATATTATAAACAAACCTGTTTGGCATAAAATATTTGACAAAGCAGGAAAGTAGTTTGCTAGCAGAAAAGTAGTATTCTCACCACCTTTCTGTTGCTAGCATAAAACACCAAAGACAAGATGGGAAAGAGGGGTTTTGTTTGTCTTACATGGAAAAGGCCACAGTCTATCACTGAAAGAATTCAGAACAGGGCAGGAGTTGAATGAGAAGCCATGGAGGAATGCTGTCCCCTGACTGGCTTTCATTTGCTCTCCAATTTATGGTCAGCTAACTTTCTTAAAGAGCTTAGGTCTCTCTGCCTAGGCTGGTCCCTTCACATCCATCAGCAATCAAGACAATTCCCCACAGTCCTGGCCACGGTCCAGTCTGATATGGGCATTCCCTCAACTGAGGATCCCTCAGATGACTTTGGACTGTTTCAAGTTGACAGCTGACATTAGCACAGATCCTGTGCTTTGTGGGGACTTGGTTTGGCAAATGGGACTACTTTTTGTAGTGAATCAATAATAGTTCAACGCTTTCTGTTAGGGAGTCTCATGGCTTCACTTTGAGATACTGGCATGTGAAAATGACTTATCAATAGGATCTAAATGAAGATCTTATACAGGCAGGCTCAACTGATGTTCCAATTGATTAGCTAGTAAAAGCAGCCACATATAATGAATTAGCCCAGTTGCTCTGATTCTGCTAAATGTCAACTTGGTACCTTACTTTGATTATTCCCAAAGCTTTCCATTCAGTCACATTTTCTGCACTAAGTACAAACCTCTTTTTGATTTCTGAAGTGTAAGGTCTATGGTGAAGTATGTTGAACAGCTCAGAATGATGAAATCATAGCAATTTCCACGGTGGTATGTTCCTAAGCAACCTATTTAATCTTTTCGGAGATATATAATACCCTAAGATATAAATTACTATGCAAACCTCAGAGAATGTTAAGGAAATTATAACAGGTTTTATATATAAGAATAAAATCATGGTTGTTTAAACTCTAATTGATAACAATGTATGGGCTTTTAAAAATTACAGATTGAAAGAGTAACACTTGGCTAAAGTCTGGAAGAATTTTATAAATATGGATATTTTCTTCCAGATAGAATAAATGTGACTGCAGTGCCTATCGAAAAGGTCAGGTTTAGTGTACAGCCATTTCCGTGGCTGTCGTTGGCTCTTGACATAGGCTCCATCTTCCCTTTTCCCCGACTCACCTGGTAGGTAACCTTGAACAAATCTGTTCCGTTCACAGTCTAGTTTCTATTTTCCCATTCCCCAGTGTTCTAAACTCTGTTTTCCTCGTTCTTGCCCATGTTCTACTTGTTCACATAATTTCAGCTCTATTTAATGAAAAAATGACTCCAGAGTTCCCCAAGGTATTTTAGGCATGTTGCATAAGAACATTCCCTCCTTAAAAATATTACCTGGATGACAAGCTTCTGCTTGTATTTTGAAGTTCTCCTTGAAAATAATTTCGATATATGTGCATGAACTAATTTTGCTGCTGAGTAAATTTAATTTGGGGGTCTAACTGGTTCTCCTGGAAATGGTTCCTTGGCATGCATGCAAAGGGTAAGCAGACTAAAGGAACTGTCCAGAGTCAGAGGGAATTTGTATGTAAGTGACTGATAAAGGTGTACAAGATACTTAGTCTGATTTTCAAGAAGGTATAGAGCATTAAAGTCCTGCCATTAATGAGGCTTTCATGTATGTGTGCCTTAAAAACCTCCTCACACATATTACCATGATATATCAAGGTCAGGCATGATTTTGAATGTGCCATAACCTAGCCTTGTGTGCGAAATATGAATCTCCCTATAAAATTAGCATCACTCTAGGAGAAACAATGGCACAATGGAGCAGGAGAGGGAGATATATCTTTTTATTATTTAAAAACTCTAATTATTATTTTTTTACTCAATTTTTGTATCTCTTTTGTTACATATTTTTATGCTAAAACCCAAAGGTATTCTATCCTTAGAAGTTCAGAGTGTGTGGAACCTGTCATCACCTGCATGGCATGTATTCTTTTTTACTTTTTTAATAGTCTTGTCAAAGTTTGACGCTGGCTCTGTCTGCTTTCTAACAATAAAATTAATCGAGGAGACTCTAGGATGGCTTGTGTTTTCTCCAGACTCCTCTCCTGTTCGTTTAATAGACTAGCAGTTTTCTGGACATGCACCGCAGGAAGCAGAAGCCTTGAGAATCACGGATTTTCAATCTCAGTCAGTAACTTGGAGATCAGTTCCTGCAAATGTCTCATGTTCTAACTAATTGAACCTCAGCCAGTCAATACCAAAGCTCAGCTTACCATTTAATATGGACCCCCAGGTAACAGCAATTTTTGGTGGGTAGCAGCCATGAGATCAGTGGTATACAACAGTGAGAATCTATTTCACCTGAACATATTTTGTCCTTAACTCATCTGTGAAGCACAAGACTGGTCAAACCAGGAGATGGAATGATAACTTTCCTGACTTATGCCATTCATAAGTGTTGGTCGAACCACCATAGTCCAGGGCCACAGAGAAAGCCTAGCAGGGCCTCTGCTCATGTTAAACCCACTCACATCCTACTACCCAGAATCAATTACATCATTGCGCTCAAGGTAGGGAATGAGCAAACATCTGATAAACCACGAACTAATAGACTCTATCATAGTTTTGAGGAGCTATCAACGGATATAGAAGTAGAAACTTAGCTTGTAGAAACAGAAGTGATGATGGAGAGAAGAGGCCATCTGTTTAAAGGTTTGTTTGGGGAGCGATAGGATCGGACTAAGACTACAGAGTTTGGGGCTGAGAGTTGTCTGTTAGCAACGTGTCAATGACACATTGCCTGACACCAAGAGCGGGAAGGTGAGGGGAGGCTCCCTGAAGAGCAAGTGGT